GGTGTTTCCTCAGCTAACCCTGGGCTACTGTTTCAAGTGAGACAAATGGCCTCAAATGGCCTAGGACCCAGGCTCCGAAGCCCAAGCCACAGAGCCCAGTGCTGGGGAATTATCTGTCCCACTCCAGAGCACTTCAGGATGCTTTCTCTTCTCTCATATCTTTGGTCCTTCCTTTAAGTTCATCAACCTTAATACACAAGAGCGCTCTGAGGAAATTGTAGAGGCCAGAAGCGCAAAACCGCAGTGTCCGTGGAGCAGAGGTCAGGCGGCTGGTGGACCAGCACGCTGTTGCCGCTGACTTGTCATCACCTCCTCCCGTTTTGACCCTGGCAATCTGCCCACGCCAGCCAGAAGCGGACTGTACCCCTAAGCTTACAGCCTCCTAATGCTGCAAAGCACTCTTCCCGAGGCTGGATCAGCCTCACTCAGGGTGGTTTCTTTTTTCTCCCAAACTATGGCCATTCACCAACCCCCTCCTCCACACAAGCATAGTCCCCCATGTGGATAGGCACCCAGTCCTTGTTGAGACGTCCGGGGCCATGTATGACACAATTTTTTGGGGATGACCGGTTCCTGGGGCTGGGATTTGCATCCAGCATGCATGCCTCCACGTCCATGTGGCTCCCAGGGCTCCCAGCACACAGTGGAAACCAGGAGGTGGGGCCCCTCCTGGCTCTGCTACCTCAAGGCCAGGTCACTTCACCACACCTCAGTCGGTGTCTGCGTTTGGGGTGTTGCGAAGGTCAGGGAGACAACAGGGTAGGGGCAGGTTGAGACTGCAAAGCGCCCAGTGTAATTTGTTAGCATTTTGAGTCACAGTCTGATCCTCTGTGAGCGCTAATGCTGGCGCAGGACAGGCTCTAGAGAAGGAAGGCTGAATATGAAAGTGGCAAGAAAACGACACCCTGCTTCATGGAAAAAACTCCTATTTCTTGCCATAGAAAAGAGAAAACAAATGGAAATTAAGAATATGAGTGACTTTGAGGCAAACTAGTTATTCTCTGAGAAGTTTGAAAATGTGTACCGAGGTAGAATCATCATAACTTTGTGTCACAGAGGTGGCTGGGTTTTTTTTTTCCCCCAAAAGGGACTATGAGCACCAGGGTTTTATATTTGATTTCCTGGCTTTGTTTTCCCTCTGTCTTATTATTGTACTGGGGAAATTATGTGGGTTATCAGAGAGAAAGAGGAAAGAAGACAATACTCCTGAGGAACGGGTTGTTGCTAAGCCAAGTTTGTGGTATTGCAAAGGAGTGGCATGTAGGAAGACATGCAGTCATGTTTGACCCAAGCAAACAGACTTTACTGACAAGCCAGTTACAGTCTGTTCAGGACTTGGCACTGTCTTTCCTTAAGATATTGCACTCTATTTTCAGGCAATTTTATGGGCTTTTCAGAAATTAAAATAGCAAAACAAATAATTACATTAATGCCTGCACAGGCATGTTGTTGATATTCTTGTAACATTTTAAGTCCTTTGCATGATTGGATTAAACCACAGGAACACATGACTCCAGAGCTAACGGCCACTGTCATGCCAGGTCAGAGGCCAGCATCAGCAAACAAATTAATTCCTGTGTAAACCAGGGAGAAAGGAGTTAAGGCTTTGATCCAAGACTTATTTTCAAATCATCTCTCAGTTAAAGAGGTATCTCCTGGAACGAATCACTGGACACCAGGGTATATGTTGTACTCCTTCATCAGTGCTAAGTGTCCCACAGAAGGAAACAAACTCTTGAAGTCGGCCAAGTGAGAAAAAAAGCACGTTGTGTGAGCGTAGGGGGAACCGACGCTCCATTTTGAAAGAGTTTGCCTTTTTTTCTCCCTTCCTGACTTTGGGTAAGTGACTTCAGCACCTTTGAGCAGGGTGCTGCCTTTCCTGCACTATAAAGATGGCTGTTATGTCTATCAATCATGCAGAGGTGCCACGAGGCTTAATTTATTAGTTAATGTTTGTGTTACATTCTGCAGCTCTTAGATGCAAAGGTGTTATAGAAATGCAAAGCAGCAATATATTATCTAAACATCTGCCTCCTCAAATAGCTCTCTAGAAAGTGTTCATTGCTTCAGCATAAATGATTCCTCCAGAAATGGATTTCGTCCAGGTCTTTCTCAGCCTATAAATCGTTTTCCCTCCTTTCAGTCCGCAGCATCTTTGTACAGAATGTACTTGCTTGGCTGTCCTTTCCGTCTTGTCCCTGTAACGGTCAGTCACTGCGGATGCGCCTCCCTTACATGCGTGCATTGCAATCACTCACAGGTCCACCCTTTTCCTCACCATGTCTGCCTTCTTCATTCTCGACTCGAAAAAGCTGTTATAATGTGGCCTTTCTTTTGATGCTTAATTTTATTTTATTTTTTTAAGATTTTTATTGGGAATTGGAGGATGGGAACAGCGCTGGGGAACTGGGGGAAGGGGAACAGACAAGTTGCCCCCTTTTGTTCTTCAGTCTAGTTGTGGAGGACGTTGCTTCACTGTCCCAAGTTGGCACCATCATTGCGCTCTTTCCGGGAGAGGCAGATCAGTCCCCGGCTTCTGGACCACCGCTCATGGCGGCTGCTGGCCACTCACGCTGGCTGCTGGCTGGCTGCACACAGTAGCCCATCACAACCCACTGCAGCATGGGCTACAGCCTACGCTGTCGCCGGAGACTCATGGCAGCCTAGCTCTAGGTTGAGCTGTTGTTCAGCATCTTAGCTGTAGATGGCAGTGTCACTGGCCCTCATATGTGGGATCCAAACCGGGGCTCTCTGGCGTCCCAAACCAGCTCTTAACCATTGCGCCACTCAGCCGGCCCTGATGCTTAATTTTAATTGTGGGCACATTACATCTCACCTAAAGGGCTTGATGTTTTAAAATCTGGCAGTAAAACCAAGAGAAAAAGAGAAATCACTTAAGTTCTTGAGAATAAAAGAAAATGAGAAAAAAAAAAGAGAAAGAAAACTGATCTAAGTTTGAACATATTTTGATGAGATTAAATTTACTGATTGTTACAGATTATATGGGAGGTCACTTCTGCTATTAATACTGTTTGTAATTTTGCTAACACTCTGGCAAGCACCTGGGAGCACATGGATATAGGGATTCCACAGTTCCAATATGGGTCTGCTTGGATTTAAGGAACTTCTTTTCCAAACCCAAATAGAGAAAGGAAATGAATAATTAACTATATCAACATATTGTTTTCCAAAGTCTTCCTTTCCTGTATTTTTACTTCCGCTTCAACTTGGAGAGTACGTTTTCTATGCATATCATTCTTCGACCCTATTGTTTGTGGTCATGGGAGTGTCTTAAAAATGTACCCGGGATTTGTTTTAATCAGGTAGTGTAAGATGCCTATTTCTGACATGCCATATGTGACCTTTTGTGTCTGGCTTCTTTCACTTCATGTTTTCAGATTTTATCCATGTTGTAGTAGGCACCGGTCCCTTATTCATTTTTATAGCCAAATATTCCCTTGTATAGATATATCACATTTTATTCACTCATCAAGTGATGGACTTTAGGGTTGTTTCTCCTTTTGGGTTACTATGAATAACACTGCTATGAACATTCATGCCCAACTTTTTGTGTGGACTTAAGTTTTCAGTTCTCTTGGGTACATACCTAGGAGTGAAAATGCTGAGTCATATGGTAACTGTGTATTTTACCTTTTGAGTAACTGCCTGCCAAACTGTCTGTTCCACATCAATTGCTCCATGTTATAATCCCAGCAGTGAATGAAGATTCCAATTTTTCAAAAAATTGCCAATACTTGTTACTTTCTTTTTGATTTTAGCCATCGTAGTGGATATAAAGTAGTACTTCATAGTTTGCATTTCCCTGATGGCTAATGATGTTGAGAATCTTTCTATGTGGTTGTTGGTCATTTGTATATGTTCTTTGGAAAAATGTCTATTCAAATCTTTTGACCATTGTTTAACAGGGTTGTCTTTTGATTGATGAATTATAAGAGTTCTTCACATATTCTGAATACAGCTCCCTTATCAGATCTATGATTTACAAATATCTTCTTCCATTTTCTGGGTTGTCTTATTTGTTGACAATGTCCATTGATGCACAAAGCATTTTAATGTTGTTCAAGTGCAATTATTTTTTTCTTTTGTTGCTTATATTTTTGGTGTTGTATTTAGGAAATCATTGACTAACCCAAGGTCACAAAGGTTTACTGTTTTCTAAAAATTCTATAGTTTTAGCTCTGATTTATTTTTTGTATATTGTGTGAGGTAGGGGGTCCCATTTCATTTTTTTGCATGTTGCTATCTAGTTGTCCCAACTCCATTTGTTGAAAACACTATTCTTTCCTCATGAATAGTCTTGGCACCCTTGGTGAATGCAATGTATTTTACAACTGTAACTGTTTATCCTTAATAATCTTACAATTCATGGCATTTCAGATTTAAAAGTACGGAACACTTAACTCCTGAAATAAATACCATATAAATGTGTATTTTCTTTTTTTGGAAGTGAAAAATCTATTTGCCTTAACAATACTAAGATTCCTTAAGTATCAATGTGATGGAAAAAATTTTGTCATAAATACATGTATTTCCTTATGAAAGACAGATTAGTTTAAGGCTTGAAGGCTGACACATAATCCTTATGTTGTTAAATGTGAATGAAGACTGTCACCAAAGTAACAATATGACTAATGATCATGAAGAAAATCTATTAATTCTACAAGCCAGGTTCAATTCTCCTGAAAGTTAGACTTATTTGACAGTGATGTAATGTCACAAGAAATAGTAATATAAGCACCAATGAATTTTTTTTTTAATTAAAAAATTAAGGGGATTTTCAGTATCCAGATTTTAGTATGTATGTATTGTGCAGAATGTAAAACAATAATAAGTTTAATCGTTTGGGATCAACTGGGAAGTTTCAGAAATGCAAAAATCATGGCTACTTTTGTATTAACTTCCTATCGGATGTCCTATGAACCCATGATAGCCCCCGAATCTGAAGACAACCACTCATAAACATACTGAGATCCATTTAATAGTTTTTGAAGATTTTCCTGTAAAATGGCTTGTATTTCCACAGGTACAATAGTGAAGAAATAAACTTTTCAATTTGACATGAAATATAAAAGAACAGTTTTACAAATATAGCCATAAAATTTAACTGCTCAGAACATTATACATGGGAAATATGACCACCCCTTAACTTCTAGACTATTTAATACAGAGAAGCAATCTGTCATCTCAGCTAAAAAGAAACTTCCCTTTCTTTGAGTTTTGTTTGTTTAGAAACAGTTAAACAGAACTGGAAAAATACTTGCTTTTCCCTATCTTCTTCTTGGGATCCTCATGAGGGCTAAAACTTACTTGAGAGGATGTAAGCTTTACAAAAAAAAAAAAAAAATACTGAAACTTGGTTTGCTGCTTCAATAATGCTTACATTCTTTAAAAAAGATCCTAAAGTGTTCTCATTGGCCTTTGGGTCGTAAAGAAACGATCAGACCAGGCTCCATTTCCAGCACTGAAGGGAAAACCTTCTTACTCTGAGCCCACGAGGGCTAACCTATGGGGATACAAGATTGACAGGCAAAGGAACAGGGTGGGGGACCTGGCTTAAAAAATCAAGGTTCTGTGGTTTGTCTATCAGAAATTCCACTGTCACAAGACAGGATTGCAGGATTACATGAAGAGAATAGGTTTTAGCCAGCTTGAACAATGGTGTGATCATAATCCTTTCATGCAAATCCAGAGAACAGAAAGCTTTAAAAAAAAAGTTGATCAAAATCATAGAACAGCAGGTAACAATTCTGTAACCCATGTTACACTTAAATTAAGAAGGAGGAAAAGTTTTCCTTAAAATCTCAAAAGTGCTCCAATACAACACTGAACTCCCATAAAACAGGGGTTTGAGTTTTTCTATGAAAGCAGAAATAAAGCATGGAAGCATTATGAAGAAAAGAGTTCTTTCCTAATACAGTATATGTAATAACTTAAAATAATTTCCCTACTGATACTGGAAATAAATGCTATTACAATCATGTGTATGCCAGTTCCTGGCATATTTCTGCATCCAGGTTCATTCGTCTCCTTAATGGAGTCCATCATTTTTCCAATGGCTTTCTCCTTTCCCTAAACCCTAACCCTGAAATTCTATAACCAGTTATATCACGTGGCTTCCCTGAGGCACAAAGGTACCAAACTCTATAATTAACTATCGAGGAATGATAAATATGCTCTCTATTTATATTAAAAGATTTTAATTCTTTTGGGCCACAGTGGGGGGGGGGGAACCAACCCAGAAAGCTTAATATTTACTCTGCAGTGTGAACTGTAGCCCTTTTTGCAAAAAGTGGAACCAAATAAGGGAATGTTAAGAGTTGAGGCATGCATGACCCGGCAGCACCAATTATTAATAATAAAAAAATTCCGGACTAGAAAAATATTGAGTTGTATCCCATTCATTCTGATTTTTTTTTTTTTTTTTTTTTTTTTTTTGTAGTAAACGGACATAAACAAATAGAAAAAAAATATTATCTATGGGAATACATCACTGGAGCCGAACTTCTGGAAACCTATTCACAAAAGGCATTTCAGTCAGGCCTAGATCAGGATAACTGGTTAGCAATTTCCTATGAGTACACATGGGGGAGTGAGGCTCACCTTTCAATGTGATGGCAAGCAAGACATGAAAACAGAAGTGACCTCTGAGAGGGTTACCTTTTTCTGAACTGTATTACTCTACTTTGGTGAGCTAGAGTTCTTGATGCTTACAAACTAACTTGCTCTCAACTCTGAAAAAGAAATCTCATTGGCCAAAATTATAAGGGGATCTCACTAGAAGTGGCCAAGATGAGCATGGTTTTTCTTTTTGCAGACTTGCCCCCTCTCTGCGGTGCCTAGGCAGGGTGGGAGGGGACCTCACTTGGAAGTCAGACAACAAGATGTGGTGCTGACAGAGGGCGGTTCACTGTTACTCCTTCCAAGAGTTAGGAATTTATTACCTAAACTTCAACTTACATTTAGTTATCTGAGTTTACTAAAAGTCAGAAACTGTGCAGGTTGGAAGATAATTTTATTTGGGGACATATGTTGTATGCAGAACTATTAGACTTCTATCTAGTTCTTGAAATGGAAAATTATATCAGAGCATGACTTTCAGGGAAAAAAAATTTCTTGACAGGTAAAATCCAGCCTTTCTGGATGCAAGACCATTTACCTTACAAGATGCTTTTGGGGCATCAAGGCTCCTCCAACCACCTTCTAGCTCTATAGCAACAAAAGGGGCTGTGTGCCTCCTTTATCACTGTGGAGCCCGAAGATTCATAGACTGAAAAGACACTATCAGTGAAAGCTAATCACTGGAGACTCTGTCTGGCTAAATCAAAAGGCTTTAGATATATTATTCTAGGCAATTCCATTGTTTTCTTTCCTTTTCTGTCTGCAGGTAGAGTAAGCTATACAGAATAGAGTAAGCTATCAATAAGAGGACTGTTGTTGAATTTTCACATCACTTAAAAACTACCAAAACAAAAACGCCTCACCCTAAGTAATAATATCCATTGAAAAGTAAAGCTATTTTAAAACTGAGAGGCTGAACTTTTTTATATATTAAGTGAAACTAAGCAGCAGCAATCAAGAGTAATATAGTTTATCACTTTAAAGAAAATGACATTCAAAATGGGTTAGAACAGTTGAAAATAGGCAAAATATTTGCCAGTAGGCAAAACATGAAAAAACCAATTCAAGTATGGATACAGTATATTAGAATCATATAAATTATGCATCTTTACAAAGGTTAAAAAAAATGTAGCCCGGATTTGCAATGGTCAATTTGAGTTAGTTTAAATAAATACTTGCTCCATATGGCAGGGATCTATTTCATCTCAGCTGGCTCTGGCAGTCTCATGTGTGAAGGATCTTTACATTCTGGGAGCAGTGATGCTACTGGGTACCACACAGAGCGAACATCCAAGAATCATTACTCCAAATGAAATGAAACTAACAGAGGGGGATGGTGGAGCTCATATGAAATTCTGATTTAATTATTCCTCAGTAAACACTCATTTGCTCTCTTGAAATCAGGAATTTCAAATTATCTCTGCAGATGTACCACTTGGTGTTGTGTATATCTAATGATCACATTTAAATTTAGTTCAATTTGCAAACATTTTCAAAACTTACAGGGCTCCGTAAGCTGCGAGGGAAGGTGGCAGATGGTGGAAAGAGAGTGAATAAAAATGCTTGTATCATTGTGATATGTTGCTTTTAGGCTCACAGAATTTTGGCTTTCTTAAGAAAAAAAACCAAACAAAAAAACTTATGAAACCCCAACAAGTGGTTTTAAAAAGTAAAATCTCATTTTTAATCACTCTTAAATATTAAACAATTCGGTAAGCAAATAAACTTGATATTATAGGACCTAGGCCTTGTTTACTGCTGCAATAATCACTCTCAATTAATGAATTTTTAAGAGCGGCTACATTTTCATCAAACAGTTCTGGCCATGCAAGGTGAGTATCAGGGACAAACCATAGTGGACAGAAATAACAAAAGGCAGACTAAAAATTTATGGAAAATTCTTTTTTTTGAAATGCCAAGGTATTTGGTAATTGTGTGTATAAAATAATTAAATTCCACCAATGTTAAGAAGAAAACATGACAACATATGAATATTCTCTCCCCCCAAAAGCAAGAAAAATAAACCAGAAAAAAGCGCCGATTTCAACACCAGCACCTGTGCCTAATGTCTCCTGTCCACCCTTTTATAGAGCCCCCCCTTTGGAATCTGGTCAGAGTCCGTCTAGCCTGTGTCAAGTACGTCTGTCAGGAAAACACCTACACCCCACAGCACGGAAGGCTGCCCATTGAGAGTCAACAACTTTTGAATACATTTCTTCGTTTGTATGATTTAAATATGATTTAAAGTTTTATCAAAGTCTACAAAGGAAAAAAACTTGTTTACAAACCCAAGTTAAAATAAAAGCATGGTATTTTAAATCCAATTATTACAAAGATGGTGTGGTTTGATCAGGCAGACTTCAATGACGATGCCGCTGTTTCGAGCATGCAACACACCACTGCGAGCTGTTAGGCCCCGGTATGTTTCAGCACTACGTCCCCTCTTTTCTCCCAGCCTCGGGCCCCCCGCCCCTTAATAAACAGCTTTATAAAAAGGTAAAATCTAGAGTTAGTGGCAAAAACCTTCACAGTAACTTGTTAATAAAGTTGTCGATGGCTGTCAAGGGCATCAGTCAACCGGACCCTGGAAAATTAATTTGATGCAGTTCTGTTCCCCAACCAGCTGCGTGGCACAGAAAGGGCAGGCGGCGTGAAAGGCGTGTGTTCCGTGAGGCAACGGGATCTGAGACCAATATTTTGCAGACTTCTCTGAGCACACGTGTCCACACGGCGTGAAGGCGTGCGTGGGCGGCCCCGCGTCTACGTAAAATCCTGCCTCGCAGCCAAGCCACAGAGGCACGTAGGGGCCCACAGTCCTGCACATGGGGCACTCCCGCTCGTTGGCCTCCGTGTCGCTCCGGTGGCCCCAGTTGTGGTACCCGTGCACGTGGCCACAGCTGAGGTAGGCCCAGGGCTGCTTCTCCTCCACCACCTCCTTCCTGTTGATGCTGGGGAAGGCCAGCGTGTTGAGCCCCACGGGGCACTGCGGCCGGGCAGCGTTGATCTCCTGGCGCAGCGCCTCGATGTGCTTCTGCGTCGGCGCGTGAAAAAGGCCATCGGCTGTTCTCCAGAGCAGAGTGGCCCCGCACAGGTCGATGAGGGAGCCGTCCTGCAGGACGTTGGTCTCAGTTTCCACCTGTAACAAGTTTGATAGACACGCCTTTTGAAAGCGAAATTCGACAAAGCACTGTACCATCCTTTCGTCTCAAAATAAACAAAAATCATCTTTGAAGTAAACACAGGGAGGCAGCTTATGGCACTAGAAACAGGACGGGGGAGGAACTTGGCCTCCCTGAGCCTCAGTTTCCTCATTTGAACACGGGATATAATTCATGCCTGCCACAGGCACAAAGCCCTCAGCACACTCTACCTAGCTGTACTTCCGCTACCTTCCTGTAATTAGTGTCGGGCAGTCCATCCAGTGAAGACCCACACTCATTTTGACCAGAGGCAATCCGGAAGACCCCGTAGGGCCCTGCAATCATTACTGCAGTGGTCCCCACGCCTCCTGGTGACCCGTAGCTTTGAACAATCTCTCTTAACCTGTTCCTAAGGCTTGGAGCAGAAGCATTCACCGGGAGCCTTCCATTTTAAAAGGATGGCTGTGCTGAGCACCAGGTGTTCATGAGACTGATGAACAGCTGACAAGCACAGTTAGACAGGTCAGCAGGAATATGCCCGCTGCCTCCACGTGCCACATATTCTTTAGGGTACAAAGACCAATAAAACTTCACCCCCATCCTGAAGAGCCTTGTTCCTGAGTGGTGGGAGCCAGACACGCTCCAGGTGAAGGTCAATGAAGTGCTTCAAAGTGCTATGTGAGGCCACGTCACCACAGTGGCTGCGAGTGTGGGCTCGGAGCAGGCTGCCTGGGTTTCAATCACTTCCATCTCTGTCACTTCCCAGCTCTGTGACCTTGGGCAGGTACTTAACCCCCCCCCCACCACTGCCTTGGTTTCCTCTTCTATAAAATGTAGATGAGGGTATTGTGAGGGTTAAATAAGTTAATGTCAAGTTCTTAGAACAATGTCTGGTGTGCAGTAAGCACTGTGTAAATGTGTGTTGTTACTCTGACAAAGTCAGAAATGATTTTTTAAAGGGTTTCCCTTGGACAGAGACTTGATGTAGATGTTGTCAGGAGTCAGTGGGTGGGCCAGGAGGCACACCAGGAGGAGGCACGGAAAGGCCAAACACCACGCGCACTGAGGGAACAAGGGGTGCACCAGGTTTGTGGCTGGGTGGAGTACAGGGCAGGGAGTGGGCAGGACAAGAGGCCCAGGCTGGGGAGGTCAGCTGGCCTCGGTGTCCGAGGGAGTCAATGGGGAGTTTTAGGCAGCTGTACCAGAACAGATTTGTCTTTCACAAAGGTCCCTCCGGAAGTGTGGAGGATGGAAGGGATGGGTGTAAGACCAGAGGCGGAGGCAATGGTGGGAGTTCTCTCTCCAGGCAGAGAACATCGGTGGCAACAGACCAGAGGCACAGGTATTAAACGCTGAGGAATTAGACTCAACAGCCCTGAGCTCCTCATTAAGGAAGAAAGACGTTTATGTATCTGGCTTCACTGTCTATATAGAGCGGGGCTTTCCACAGACAGGGAATCTAGGAGAAATGGCAGATTTGGGGAGAAAGACAGTAAGGTCAGTTTTGGATGTGTAGGGCCTGGGGACTGTGCATTGTTTTAGCGTAATGTACAGAAGGCACGCGGGACTGCAGCCTCTGGAACAGATCTGGCTCAGGGGAGTACATCTGGGCTTTCTCAGCCTCAAGGTGAAGTCTCAGCATGAACAAGGCTGCCCAGGCAGGGTCCCTGGGAGGGCATGGAGGCTGAAGGCAGAGCAGGGGCACACCCCACTAAGGCTAGGGTGCAGGCAAATGGCCGTGTAAAGGGGAGAGAGAGGTATGGGACAAACAGAAATTTTGTCATTCTCTGACTCTGCTGGCTCTCCACTGCCCTCAGGATGAAGCCCAAACTTCTTAATATTCATGATACAGCCACTGGGCTTCTGCAGCTATAGCTCTTCCCTTTCTAACTATGAAACAGGCTGTCCATGAACACACCAAGCTGGACTGCCCACAGGCAGGTGCACGAGTGCCCTCTGCCCAGAATTCTCCACCACGCCCCACCCAAGTCGGCCCCTCGGCTTGGCAAACTCCCACTCATCATTCAGGTCTCACTGGGATGTCACTTGGCCTGGACGGTTTCCTTCAGTGAAGAAAGCAACCCCTCCCTAACAAGAAAGCACCAAATATTAGTAGTTAGAAAAAGTTAAAGTCCCAACTAAATGATAAACCTTAATACTGACAGGACAAACATGGTTTACTCCTTTCAAACAGCCTTTTTAAAGTCCGCTGAAGGTCCCTCCCCACCCCACCGCCACACTGAGCACCCCACAACCCTCCTCCCTTCAGAGGAGGTCTCGTCTCAGCGTATAACTGTGTCTAAAGAACAATTCTGGTGTGGTAAGAAACTGTGGTTTGATGGTGGCCAACCTGTTCTACAAACCCTTCTTTCCTTCCTGCAAAGCAGTTCTTGGTAAACAACATCTTATACATTTTGAGTCTGTGGTCTCTAATTTTCCACATGCTCTTGACTCCCATGTCTAGGACAGCTGTCCCTCTGAGGGACTCCTGTACTTTCTATATGGCTGTGGTCATCACACAACAGCCTGCTGATGTGCTGCCTCATCCGTGACCTTCTCTGGAATACACAATTCAAGGGCAGAGCTCTGGGCATCTTGCTGACTGCCGGATCCCCAGCTCTTAGCCCCTGCTCAGCTGTAACAACTAACAATATGGACTGTTACTGTGAACAGCACTGCTTCAATCCTTACTTAGTTCTCATAACAATCCTAGAAGATATGTACTAGCGTTATTCCAATTAAACAGATGTGAAGCCAGGCACAAAGAGCTCGTCATTGATTTAAGACGACGAAGCCACTGCATGGTAGAACCAGGACTGAAACCTGTGATCTGACTTCGGAACCATCTATAGTGGCTGCTCAAATACTAGCCTGTTTTCCCTTTGAACTGTTACTTCTTGTGTGCTATCTCTATCTGCGAACAAAGTGTGTAGTGTTTCTTCAAAATACAGCATGCAGGGAGGCAGCATAGTGAAATACTGCTTTGCAGAGGCAAGGGTTCAGATTTTTTTTTTTATCCCCCCCCCCCCCCCGCCAAAATAAAAAAGGCACAAGGACTACACAGGGTTGTGGAAGTAAGAGATAGTTAAAACCTAATGGCCTCTACATATCAGATAGCTCAGCGCAGAGTAGAGAATTCAAATCCCTGCCCACCACTTATAAGCGAGTGACTGCCTTTTAAAACCCTGGTTTCCTCATCTGTAAATGGGAACAGTAACAACATTGCGACATGGAGCTCAGCAGGTTACTGTGAGTAACACCAGAGAGGGAATTAACATAAAGCACTTGGCAGAGCCTGCATGTAGTAACACCATGGTTATTTTTATGATTTCACCTAAAATTAGGTAAGCCAATCAACTTAACTGAATTTACCTAATTTTACACAAAGCCAATATAGTTTTATCAAATTATACTTGAGGTATTTTATTAAACACTCAAGAATCTACTAGCATGATAGTCTAAATGTTAGCATACTAAGTTATCATTAACTAGGTAAATGAGTAGGACACAATTCAAAGTTCGTTCGCCTGTTTACTTACTCAGAGGGTTAAGCTCTTGAGAAGCCATTTCCCCCACATTTAGTTAATCATGTTGATCAAGTACAAAGTGCCAAGGTTTCATCATTTGCTGTATTAATGAGAATCTATGGTGATTTGTTATTAAAAACACATTATCATATTGATTCACATTAAACGCTGAGTGTGATATGAACACAAAACCTTCTACTAGCTCCACACTGAGGACAGGAGGCATCGACTACCGTCATAACAAACAGATAATTCTGGACTTTAGCAGATCACTTCATTTTCTGTATTTTTCTATTAAACTGCAAATGAAGAGTACTGCCAGAGACTGTCCCCAAAATCTAATCTCCAGATAGACACAATTTATATCAGCTGCTGTCAGTAACACATACAGGACCAAAGAGCCATATGCTGAAACAGAAGCGCAAAGGATCGGTAGGTTCTCATCTCAGAGAGAAGCTGTTTTCCAAGGTAATAAGAAGGGACTGCAGGGAGGCGGGGTCACTTCATCCCCTGGTGTCACCCACAGTCCAAGATCAGACTGACGGAAACCTGGAAACTCTGATTGTTGGCTGGGTCAATCGTATACTAACAAACAGTACAGTGCAACTTTACGCAGATCTAAGGGTCACTTACAGGGAAAGCTTCAAAGTCAGTCTATGTTCAATACAACTCATTAAAACAAGCTATTTTTGGAATTGTTTCAGGAGCACTGTAAACTTCTCTGGCACACAGCTGCCTGAGCTGGGTCACAACATAATCCCCAGAGTGGGCACGATACACATCTTGGGATGTGCCCTCCTGGACAGACAAGCCCTACGTGGGTTGCTGCATATGCTTTATGTTGACCCAGGGAGGCAAATGCTCTGGTGTGAACATCTCAGGTGACAGCCAGGTGTGACTCCCCACAAGATGGTACTGAGTGGCGACCTGGAGCCTAGACTCTCAATCAGGGTGACCTGAGTTTCAATCCCAACTACTGCCACTTCTAACTCTGTGTAAATATTCAGCAATCTTTAACCTCTCTATGCCACACCTTCCTCATCTATAAAATGGGGACAATTCTACTTCCCTGACAAGGCTGCTGTGCAGATTAAATGAGCTAATGTCTCTGAAATCTTAATGCAGTGCCTGCATCCAGCAACCTCTTACTGACTTCTCACTGTTGCTGTTAAAATGATTAATAACCAGTTTGGCCAATTTTGTATAAAATTATTACATATAATAAATAATTTACATATAATAAATTACATAAAATAATTTTGTATAAAATTATCCAATGATGAGAAACAAAAAGTTATTTGGAAAAACTGCTTTCACATTCTCTTCCCTATTTACAATCTCTTGAAAAGTGTTTAAACAAAGTTTATTGCATTTGCGTGGCCTTTCTTAGAAAATGCTTCTCATATTTGCTCAGCCATAAGGCTCCAAGACTGGACTTTATCATCAAACACAGAAGCTATACCTGCAGCGGAATAATGGTGTAAAATAGAAATTTAAAAAAAATCCCCTAAAAGAAACATTCAGTAGAGAACAGTAAACTAGGTTAGTAAAACAGTTCCCCATCTTCTTTTTCCATCTTAAAAATAGTTGATTATCATCTTTCTCTCTGAAAAATGCCAGATTGCATCTTCTATTTCCCTGTATTTTTTCCATGGAAGGTTTGAAAAAAACATTTGTTCTCCCTTGTTCTAGCTTCTACCTAACAATTAATTAAAAGTACTAGAGTGGAAAATTTATTAAGAACCTTTCTGTGCTGTGCCCCATGGAAAATTTATTAAGAACCTTTCTGTGCTGTGCCCCATAGCTAACGGCAAGATCAGAAACCCAAAGCTTCCTATTTAAGGTATAATTATTCTCCACAGAAGAAAGGGTTAAAAAATCAACTGCTTTAGGGCATTTGGGATATGTGGTAATAGTTCTAGGAAAATATTAGCATGCCAAGTCAATGCACTATATGAATTATTCAAGTAAAAAGCTGTAACTACGGTTTTGGTGATTTATACAGGGAATTATGTATTCATTTCTTACTATGAACTCAAGAAAAAAACTAACTTAATTATCTTTTAGTTCCAGAAAGTCTAGTAAATAATTCTGTAATTCATAATTTTCATTAATTAGTCTTTGACTGCTTAGGATTTCTCCAAATTAGTAAAGTTTTACACTAAAAATAAGCTTCTTCATTTTAAAAGAATGTTATTAAATTTATTGGGGTGACACTCGTGAATAAGGTTATCTATTAACCATGTATTTCTAGTGTATATTTCTATAGTACATCGTCTGTATATTGCATTGTGTGCTCTTCTTAAAGTGAAGTTAAGTGGAATTTTCTGGTGAAGTATATAATAAAAGATTATGCTCTTAAGGTAGTAAGGAGCAAAGATAATTTTCTTCCGCTTTAGGAAAAGAATAATCATTAAAGGCCAAATAAAAAATAAGGCCATTTCCCTCTCACTTTCAAGGGCTTGCAGAATTCTCATTCCCTGGGGTCAGTACACAGCACTCGTACCTGTACAAAGGTTCTGAATTTCAGGGGAGGAGAAAGACAGTTCTCAAGTTAGATTTTTGTAGTTCGGTGCATTTTCCAGACTGAAGTCCACTCACCAGCTTTCCCCTCTGCTGGGCCGACCTGGTTTCTCGCAAGGTGTACACGTCTCCGCAGACCGAGATCTCGCGCCAGACCCCGGGCTGCGACTCTTCCGTGAAACCCCCTCTCGGATGCATCACTAGGACGCCGTTTGTAGTGAGCCCATCCATGTGGCCATCGGGGTTTTTCCATTTTGCTGCCTTTTCCTGGAGGGCAGGAAAAAGCACGCTAAGATTATTTCAAAATGAAGGGATTCGAGACTCTCTCTGAAATATTGGATAGGAGCAGAGGGGAGGAAAGTGGTGAATTTTCATTTTCTATTTAAAGCCAATAATCAGAAGGATAAAATGTGCAATTAGCCCAACAATGTGAAAGAAGTGGTAAAATGGATGAATAATTTATCTCCAGAGACACATTATATTTATCTTGGAAGCCTAAAAAAAAATTATCTGACGCCTGGGCTTCTCCCTCAGAGATTCTTTTTTAACCCCCCCCCCCCCCCAGGTGATTCCAGAGTCTACTGTGTATTCTTTAGTTCAATTTGTGCAGTGTTGAACTCATCATCAGGGAAATGTACGGAAGGAAGGAAAACCATCTTTATTAAACATACAAAATTTCAACAACTGTTAAGCTAACCCTTTGTGACCACTATGTTTTCATACAAATCAGTGTGTATATCCTCAAAGCTGGAAGGCACAAGCAGCTTGATAATAATGGCAGGAGATGCTCTTGGATGCCCGCGCCACAGTGATCTCGCTCTTCTCGTCTGGGGACAGAGCCAGATATTGTTCGCATGACTCAGGGGTAAATCCTGAGTAGGATAAGCCAATTAGGACAATCGCAGCCCTTGCCAATGACTGGTTTAGGGGTGGGCATGTGGCTGAGCTCTGGCCAATGCGACCTGGAAAGATTTCTCTGCTCTACAAGGAGACAAAGAATAAGCAGTGCCTCTGCCGCTTCTTCCTCTGGAAGTTATGCTGCAGGGGATGAGTGGCAGTGCAGCAGCCATCTTTCTTTCACCCGTGAGAAGACCTCACCGGAAGAGGCTGATGTGCCCAGAGAGGCAGAGGGCAAAACAGAAAAAGCCTGCTCCCCTGGATGTCACAGAACCACTGAATTAACCAACCCTGCAGCTGGTCTTTCTTGGTGCTTCTTGTAATGTGGTGGTAATACATTTTTATTATTGTTTAGGCCATTTTGGGTGTTTTTTCCCCCCCTGCAAAAATCCCTCAATCAAAAAGGAACTACATTAAAAGTGGATATTCGCTAAAACTTTTGGGTTTCATTTACATGAGAACCCTATGAAGGCAGAGATTTTTAATCTGTTTTGTTCTCTATGATATCACATCTACAACACCCAATATGGAACATAGCAAACACTCAGTTTTTTGAATGAATGATTAATATTTTCCTTTGAACGCTGATTATCTAGATTTGACCATTTCTTTTTCCCTCTGAAATAAAGCTCCTTAAATCTACCAAAAATAATATTATGCATGATGTTAATATATACTTTAAAAAGTAATTACTGTACATATTATAATACAGCAAATATAAAAAGTATCATACAGCAAATATAACAAGTAATGACTTAGTTATTTTCAGATTTTTAATAACAGCTTTTCAACTATCCATCTGAAAACTAAAATCTCAACATTTCACCAGAGGCATCATACAAAACAAAGATTTTGGCCACAATTAAATGTTATATATGATAAAAAAGGGTGTTTTTCTTGAAACAATGCGCTTATCAGTAGTACTTACTCCAAGAAATATGTTTTTGGAAGAGTCAAACCCGGCTGCGAATATCCGTGCTGTGTAAGGTTCGTTCCTGTCGCAGACAATCCTGCAGGCAAACCTGGATATGGTGCTTTGTGTAATTTGGGCGTCGTCATTGTTCTGACTGCCAGAAATGGTGTCTGTAACGACGAAGTCAATGGGGCTTTCGGTTGATCTGCCCACCTAAGTAAATCAAAATACTCATAACTTAATTGTAAAATATCACGTCACCATATTTTGCTCACGTAGAATGAGTGTTTGGGACCCCTTTAGTATTCATTATCTCTGCTCCGAAGGTCAGAATTTAATGAAAGAATTTTCAGTTCTGCTCCTTTTCTTGTTTAACTAAGGGAAATGATATGGTAACCAACTATTCAATTTTTAAATGTTTAGAGAAAAGCTCAAGTTTCTATTCTGCAGGAAAACAGATCTTACCCCAAACAGATTCTCTCTCTTGGATCAGGCAGAAGCATTACTTTTATGGCAAATCATTCGTGTGTGTGTGTGTGTGTGTGTGTGTGTGTGTGTGTGTGTTTCCAAGTGGAGAAAAAGCAAGATTTTAAACGAAGCCAACAAGCAAAGGAAATCTTGCCCCGACTCCTGTCCAGCTCCAGGGGCTGGCTTTGCCCACTGAGTCAGTCCACCAGCGACTCAGCACAGAGCAAAGACAGCCCTAGCCCTGACTCACACTTTAAATACTTGTTACCATTCCTCAGTGTGTGAGTGATGTCAACGACTGTACAAAGTTTGAGATGCCGTCAAATGAAAAATTTGAATAGCTGGTCTTAATGCTTCAAATTCTGGATTTTTAAAAATCTCTCTTGGGAAAATCTAAAAAGTTGCCAATATATTGGCTTGCTTTCCTTGGTAAGTTTAAATACTGCTGGGAAGAATGTATTTCATTAGCAACATGATCTTAGAGTTCAAACAAAGATTTTCATATTCAATAAATCCAAATTAGACAGGTACTGTTCTTTCCTGTGAACTGGGAGGAGTGTTTGCTTACAAATAAGGAAATCCTGAAGACAAAATAATAAAATGTTTATGTAATGATGTTCTATGAATCTAACTGTTTGAAAAACAGTGATCAATGTTATATATGCCAGAGACTTTTTAATGTAAAATCATTTATATGTAAACGAATCATTTCTCACTAAATATGATTAATGTTCTGACAATAGTGACTTTGATTTTGAAGCTGTCATTGGGAAGAACACAGAGCCCCCAGATGTGTACATAGAAGGCCCCCAAAAGTCAATTTCCCAGGTCTCTTTATCCTGACCTCCAAATTCTACCTACAACGTAAGCAATGTAATACACTTCTCATCCAAATGAATAAAAGGAGAAGTATTAATACATTCTGCATAGTTTAGCTTTGCTTGATTCCTGAAACAATATTAAATTTATTTTGTAAATCTCACATATACATTCTCATGCATATCCTATCTCGTTAAACGAACCAACAACAGAAATCTATTTTCTCTTGTATTTTACAAACCTTAATTTCTTGTCCTAATGAAATGTGCCTGGAATAAACGAAACCGCTGGGTTCCCTGAAACTCATCAACTTAAATAGATGCATATTGCCTGAATGTTTGCTTTCAGGTTTAGAAAACATATAACTTGTTAAAAACTGCAACATAAAATCTGAATTACAGATATTATAAAATCCTATCATACCATTTATCTTTCTAAAGCTGTAGAATCTTCCCTCTGCTAGATTCATTTAAAAGCTGTGTGTGTAACTCAGCTGTACTGATTCAGACCACTCTAATTTTTTTTTTTAAAAAGCCTTTTTATAAAGTTATTCTCTTAGTTACTTTCAAGTATGTCATACAGTATTATTAACTATAATCATCACGCTGTACATTAAATCCCCTAAACTTCCTCATCTTACATCTGGGAGTTTGTACTGTTTGACCAACAGCTCCCCATTCCCCCCATACCCTCACCCCAACCCCACTCTAGTCTGTTTCTATGATTTTAATTTTTTTTAGATTTCACATATAAATGATATCAGATGGTACTTATTTTTCTCTGCCTGGCTTATTTCACTTTAAAAAGCTTTTTTAAATTAAAAAAGGAATAAGTACTTATGCAAAATATTTCACAAATAAGGAAGTGTAAAGGAAAAAGAAAGGTTACTCCAGACTCAGGAACAAATCTGTCCTCAACTTCTATTCCAACGAAGCTTAGGAATAGAATGTGAAAAGCTCTACAATTTCCTAGTCATGTTACAAAACCCACAGTTTTCACAACAACACAGTCTCTGGCTTAATTTCTGTTACTTCCATGGAAGAGGGCAACCACTTTTCAAGCTCAGTTATAAGCTCAAAGCTAAAACCACGCTCTAGCCGAATGTCACACAACTGCTCCTTGTCTGCAGAGATTATTCTCTTTAAGAAAGGCCATTCTGATTTCATTCCAAAGTATTAAATTAATGTCTTGATGAGTTAACTGGAAATTGATTGTAAAACATGACATTTTATTCCAACTGGAACACATACTGCTAGGATCAATTATTTCAAGCCATGATACTTAGCTGACTGGTCAGATAAGATTTGTTTATCAATTCACTTCCACTTAAATCTAACCTGTAGAGTGCTAGGATAATTTTATACTTTAGGACATAAACCTCGGTGTTGCTTTTGCCAGGAACAAATCTGAGCCACTTTTCTACTGAAAACTCACCCCATGTGGAAACCTTGGGCCCTGCCCTTTCTTTTGATTATTGATATTTTAAGGGCAGTCATGTACACAAGCCAAGACGCTTCTCAATCTCATCTGATATTCACATAGTGCTGATATTCATACAGTAGCCGCAGGGAGAATTTTACTCCCTGCTACTGACACTCACCGATACGCCATTCAGCACTTTCAGTTTTAATATATACGAGAAAAGTTTTGGTCTGCCTGGTTGTCAGTGGAAGTCAGTACCGGCAAGATGGTACGGAAGCACCCTCAAGGCCTCCTTCTCGCTTCCTGGACCAACCCTTCCCATGTCCCTGCATCTGCACCCTTACTTTCTGAGTTCCTTCCTATGACAAGGATAAAACATTGCTGCTTCTATCCAAGACCAATCTCTTTACTGATGCTCGGGATCTCAGGGTCCCCGCTTCCCTGGACTCTGCTCCTGACATTTGCTCCCCATCCTGAATCATCAACGTCTCTCTTCAAACTGGATCACGCCATCAGCTATCACATTTTGGCGTTTCTCAAATGGTGACTCTGTGGGGTAAAGGACCAGTTTATTTGTTTTTTACCTTTCAACTTGCCACTGATACCTTTTTAAAAAATACCATACAAATGACTACTAGAAATATGATCATCTGCTTGGATGGCTATAACAGTTCCCAAGCGCCTCCTTCCTGTTTCCTACTCATCACACTGTGTACTGTCAGCAGACATTTTGGGGCTCTGCTGAGTACAGTTTGAGTAGCACTGCTCTAGACTAGTCTCTCATCTTCAAAAATGCTTTCCTTGGCCTGCAAGCAACCCTCAAGCTATAGCACCATTTCTCTGACTCACTGAACAACAATACTCTTGAAGAACCTGGCAGTAGTGACTACCGCCATTTCCTTACTCATCCCCTTAACCTCTCTCCTCAACCCTCTCCAATGGAGATTCTCTCCCCAAATGAGCGTCTCTCCTCACAGCTCTACTGAACCCACTCTCCCTGAGGTTTCTGGGACTTATTATCAGCCAGCATATCCGGCCACATTTGTACCTGGTATTACAATAATGAAACCCTTCCAGGCTAGTTGGTAAATAGCCCCTTTCCCTTCTCTTTTGACCTCTCCCTAGATAATCTCATCAAACCCTATTTATTCACCAGAAAGGCCTGATTTCCCCGCCCCCCCCCCCCAGCTTCAGACTCGCACACCCAATCTCCATTTGGATGTCTAGGAAGCACCTCAGATGTCACATGTTCCAAACAGAACACGTATCCCCCTCTAGCCCCTAGATTCCCTATGTCAATGACTGGCAGCCAATTTGTTCAAGCCAAACATCAATACCCAAGAATGATCCTTGATTCTTTATTTTCCTCCACACCCACATTTAACCTCGTGGAAATCCTGTCAACTCTACTTCCAAAAGACATCTTCCATCCTTCCACTTCCCCACTTCAGCTCCAGTTACTGCGAGCTCTTTCTTGGGTTGTGTTACCTCAGCCTCCCAACTGTTCTCCAGTTTTCACACTGGCCTCTTACATTCTCCTCTAGACTGTAGCTGGGGGTACCTTTTAAAAATACAAATCAGATTATACCTCTCTCTTGCTTAAAATCCTCCCAACAGCTTCTCCAAAACCCCTAAAATAAAACCCAAGTTCCTCACTTGGTCTGAAGGCTTTCCCTCTCCCGGCCTCTGCAAGGTCATCTCATGTCACCTCCCTCCTCCTTCACTTTGCTCCTGCCTCGGGGCCTTGGAACTCTGCAGGGAACACCTGCTTATCTGAGGTCTATTTGCCTCCTCTAGAATGCGGGCTCCATGAGAGGGAGGTCTTAGGTGCTCAAGAAATGAAACTGATGAACGGAGGATTGTGACAGTGAGCTGGAACCCTGTGACTCTCTCTCTCTCTCTCTCTCTCACACACACACACACACACACACACACACACACACACTCTTTAAGAAATAACTACTGAAAACATGTTGATATTCTTTAACATTTTTCTCAACTATATAGATGCTAATGTTACCATCTAAAACTACAAAAAGCCAACTGAATTAAAAACCAAACAAACAAAAACTAAAAACATAAGGTGCTGCAGCACCCAGGTTCAAAGCCACTGAAACTGAGAAATCAGAGGGGAAAAGCCGCACTGACAGTGGCTTTGGGACCTGGCCACTTTCCTTGTCCTCATGATCAAAATGTACCTGGCATTACACTTCACCTCAGGGACTCTGCAAGACATTTCATCATTACTGTTAATTCCTTTCATAAACTATTTCCTTCTCTATAGTTTACCGTATTTGCCGGCATATAAGACGATTTTTTGGCCCTGGAAAATATGCCTCCAAGTGGGGGGTCGTCTTATAAGCCAGGTACACTTCAGATAGACTGCCCATAGTGCTTGCCCCGTGCCATAGTGGCCTCCCGATGCCCGCCCACTTCATTCCACATACCGTTCAGGCATCAGCAGCGCTGCTGGGTGTATGCTCGGCTGTTATGCGATTTTGCTGTTATGCGATTTTACCACACTCGCAAAATCGCACACAGCCGACCATACACCCAGTATGATAGCGCAAAATCGCGAATTGCGATTTATGTATATGTTTGATTACATACAGCCTTGTGACAGTTTTCCTGCATGTCATAAGCATTTGAATATAAATATAAATGTTGAAATCAAATCTGATATTGTTTTACCTTTTATTTGGTGTGTGGACGGTGTGCGGAAGAGGGGGTAGTCTTATACGGCGAGTATATAACAAACTCTGTATTTTGAGTGGAAATGTTAGGGGGTCGTCTTATACGCCCAGTCGTCTTATACGCCGGCAAATACGGTACTTTTTCAAGAGCTACAATCTTTTCTTTTTCCTCTCTTTATCCCTACTCTAGAAAATAACTACTAACATCTTATTCTGACTATATTAACTCAGAGTTTTCTCACCCGTAATCCATCTCTTACGAGTAAATTCAGATCTAGTTTTGATGTTTTTTCTTCAGGCAGTAATATTTCTGAGTTCTAGGCCTACTATATGATTCCACTGTGGGAAATGCAGCCCAGGTCCTTTATGGGTTCATTCTAATGTTCTGATTTTAAATGCTCAATTTACCTAGAAATCATTTTAATGTGTAATGGCTAAATTGAACAGGTCTCAACACCAAGGTCCATACTTGAGAAATATAAATGTTGCAGTGCTTTTTGCTCTGTATTTTTATCAGTGGTAGGTGTTGGACATATAAACTTGTTAAAAGGAGGAAAAAGTTAAAACAAATCTTGATTTTTTTTTTCAGAGCCTTCTAAGAGTTGCTTAATTCTACTCTGCTTAGATTCTAATCTGACATTAATCCTCCAAAATTTCCAGTTAGTCTGTGAATGGAATGAGATTATTTTAGTAAAAATGGCAAATGGGTTATGTTTTCTTAATTAACCTATACATTCTTGTTGAAGCTTTATTTAAAGCAGTTGAGTTGGTACTATGTAGAGACTGTAGAACTCAGGAGACCGAAATCTTCTGCCACGAATGCCTTCTCTGTGCTTAGTTTAAGTTACCTTTCCTTTCAAAGACCCAGATTTCTCAGCTATGAAATTAAGAGGTTAGTATAATATCTGGTATTTCTCAGTGTGGTCCATGGACCTCCAAGGGCCTCCAATACCTTTTCAAGGGGCCAGGTCTCTGAAGACAAAACTGCTTTTATGATAACACAAAGATACTATTCACCTTTTCCTCTTGCTGACATGTGCTCTGATGGTGCCCAAACACTGATGTGCTTTAGCAGGAATCATAATGGCGGCACCAAACACACCAGTGGTCACTGTACTCTTCACCGCAATGCATGTGCAGTGAAAATGTAATGCCAGTTTCACTTAAGGATGCTTTGATGAAGCAGGAAAGAATGATTCATTTCATTACATCTGGGGTCTTTAATATCCTGCATGATGAAATGGGAAGTCTGCATCAAGTGCTCAGAAGCTCATTACACTATGGAGGTTCCTCCAAAAACTAACACTAAAACCACCATGTGATCAGCAACCCTACTTCTGGGTTTTACCCAAAAGCACTGAAATCAGGATCTTGACAAAATATTGGCACCCCACACCCCCATGTTCATTGCAACAGTGTTTACAATAGCCATGATATGAAAAAACCTAAATGTCAATAGGTGAATGGATAAAAGGAACTGCAGTACATATCTACAATGGAATATTATTCAGCCTTTAAAAGAAGGCAATTCTGCCACATGCGACAAGATGGATAAACCTAGAGAACATGACACTAAGTGAGATAAGCCAGTCACAGAAGGACAAATGCTGCATGATTCCACTCACATGAGGTATCTAAAATAATCAAATTCATAGAAACAGAGTAGACCAGTGGCTGCCAGAGGCTGGAGGAGGGGGAAATGGGGAGTTGTTGTTCAACAGGTATAAAGTTTCAGTCATACAGGTGCGTAAGTTCTAGAGATCTGCTGAACAACATTGTGCCTGTAGTTAAAAGTACTATATTGTGCACTTAATAATCTGTCAAGAGGGTCGACCGCATGTTAAATGTTTTTACCACAATAAAAAAAAGTAACAGAAGCTGAAATAAATCCGGCTCAATCTTTAATTCATTCTGCATTTGCTGAGATGAGAAGAAAATGAACGATGTGAGCAGAATGTGATTGTATAATAGTGAAGAATACACTATTTAAGTCACAATATGTCACTAAAGAATAGTAATGAAGTTACTTGTGTCATCACAGTAAGTTGTTGATTTTAAGTGGTAAAAAATGTACCACCAATAAATGTGAAATTTTCTTGATTCATTTTTTTTAATATTGAGAATCTTCCATGTAAAACAAAGTAAAAAAAAAAAAAAACCTTACAAATGGAAGATATATAATTTTGGAAAGTATTTTAAAAAAGGAATTATTATGAAGTCCCATAAAAATATCAACAGGGAAATATATGCATATACTTATCTAGGAAGAGATTTTCTTTGGTAGAACAAGAAGAAAAGACATTTAGAATATTACAAAATGAAATAGCACGAAAAGTAAAACCACTTATATTTTGTTTAAATGACAAAATGTTACTTTTGCGTTCAAACTGCACTTAAATTACTATGTTTATACCTATGGCTATTACGATAACTATGTATCTATCTATCTAGGATTGTTCAGTTTTTTTTTTCTTTTTATAAATAGCTAACACATGGTTCAAAAAAATCAAAAAGTGTGAAATGCAAAGCCTCATGATTTACAATTTGTTTACTTTTTTATTTTATTAGCTTTAATTTTAATTTTCTGTTGTTTTAAAGTACCAAATCTTGGATATATTAGTTCTTTTTAAATTAATTGATGATTTCTTTCCCCTTTATTACTTCCTTCCTCCTGCTTTCCTTTGATCTATTCTCTAGACTTTCCATTACATACCACTAAAACTATTCCTGAATCTGTCCTCTACTTTCTTATTGTCATTTTTTTTAAAAGAACTTTTTGAGATAAATGTTTAGTTCTTCAACTTCTTTCTCTCTTTCCTCGCCCCCACTTCCTTCCTGCCTATAAAACCATTTAAGTTTCTGCATTTCTTACGAGTATGATGTTGGTCACATCTCACGAGTTTGGCTCTATAATATTCCCATAGTTATTTTTAAAAAGGCCTGTAATTGTAGTTTTGATGTCATCTTTGATCCAAGTGTTATTTAGGAAGTATTTTGAACACACTGGCTTTTAAAAGTGGCTGACTATAAAAATTTTCATTCTGGGTATTAAAGTCTATTTTTATTGCATTGAGATCTGAGAATGTAGCCTTCATATATATATATATATATATATATATATATATATATATATATATATATATATATANNTATTTATTTATTTATATCAATTATTTTTAGAATTAAGTTTTTTCCTTAGTTTTTCAAAAACCAAATAGGAATAATTTTTATATTACCCTCACCTCTCTCCCCTTGGGCATCATCATAAGGCTAATATACTAGAAGTCCTGATTACATATCAAAATACAGAACTGAAGGAAAAATGTCCTACAATTTCCATTCCAAAAAGCAAGATGTTACCTGAAACATATCCGTGTCTTTATCATGTGTGTACTCGACCACCACAGTTTGATTCCTGGACAGAGTGAACGATATACTATGTTGACCTTTGCAGCTGATAGCCTAATAATGAAATAAAAAAATATAAAAATTCATTAAAATTTCATTTCAACAAATTAACCACAATTGTTTAAAGTTAAGAGACATTCTACCAGCAAAACCCAATACAAGCCAGCATTTTCCTAATAGTCAAAGCATGTCCTTGTCCTGTGTCCTGAATTACAGAGCAGACAATAGTCACAATTCTGGTTTTACCAAATAGTCTATCTTAATATGAATGATATTTTACTTACACTAAATCAAAGTTAATTTATTAGTTTGCAAGGCTTGATTTAAATTCCCAGAAGAATATATACTTTGTCTGTTAACTCAGTGACAGAATTTTTAGACTAATACGATTTATTTAAAATTTTAAAATCTATTTCACACTATAACAGGTAAGTTAATAATATTGTTATAGTATTTTTCCTATGAAATAGAGATTATAATCATAGTAAAAGAATCACTTAAAAAATTGTAAATGTTCTATAAGAATTTCTATGTAATAATGTACTTTTCTAGCCAATGATAATCATACTTATACTCTGTTCCACATGTCATTTAAATCTTATATAAGCAATTGCTTAACCCAGATATTTATTGAACTAATAAACAGGGCAACAAAGTTAGTTTTATCTTTTATATTTTTAGACTAAAGCTATAGTTTTTCACAGAATCTAGAAACCTATAATACAATATTGTTCTTATTTTCTCTATAATGATATATTTGAACACATCTTAAGATGTGGTTATTATACACTTTTAAATTTCCAAATTAACAAAGAAGTTTATTTAAATTGTACTCCAAATTATTTCAATTACATTTTATCTATTTTATTTTAACTTATCTTCATTTCCACTCTTTCACCTTAAGTATAATAAAACTATAGTAAGCCTATCCATGAGACATTTACTGAATGATGATACTGTATGAAGAGCAAAAAAGCTTTTGGAAGTACCTGGACATGTACAGCATTTTAATGAAAATGTCTGAACATTTATATTTTAATAATAGAATTGCTTAGAGTAATAAATAGTGCAACATTCGAAATCAAGTTTGAAGTTAGCCTGAATCATCTCATGGTTATTTAATCATCTTCCCTGACAAACTACATGATTGAACTGATGTTTTGTTGAAATGCTTCATTAAAATAATACAAGTATTAGAAAGAATAATAATTTATATATTTAATGTGGTCAGGAATCTAAAAAGCAGTTCTTAGACTCCTGAACTCCTATAACAAATATAATATTAAATTTTCATTGGTCTGAGTCAGATAAATTAAAAATGGTATTGATATGTGACATTTTTTAAAATCCAAATTAATACAGGACTATTTACAATTTAAGTGGATGTTTATTTATCTTGATAGTTAAGTGAAAAAAACCCACTTTAAGAAAAATAATTTTATTAAACTCAAACTTATAGAACTCATAACCAAGGAGTGATTATTTATATAGTAACTTATTTTAGGGCTCCTTAAAAAGTGTCTATTGCAATTGCAAATATTCAATTTACAAATACATTGACTCACACACAATTTTCTTGGCATACATTCCATAAAATAAGTATGTCTGCAGTTTGCCAATTACCTACAGAATAAGGAGTTAACAAGTGCCATAACAGAGCACCTTTTATTTATTTATTTATTTATTTATTTATTTATTTATTTATTTATTTATTTATTTATTTAAGCTGAGACATCCTGTCACCTGTTAGCAGCTTAGCGGCTGCTCAGCTTGGGCCGGGACTCGAACCGCTGTTGCTCAGAGCTCAAACTCTTGAGCGAGTTCTTAACCAACTGAGCCTCTCGGCTGGCCCTCTAACAGAGCACCTTTTAAAAAGTCACATATTTTTGTATGATGGGACCTTCTAAAGTACAATGTTTCTCAAACTGGCAGAGAGTTACCGGAACCCCTGGAGGTGTCTAGGAGAGCAGCCCTAAAGTGAAGTTTCTGATGCTTAAAGCATCTTACTTTAAAATTACTATAAATTTTCTATTCTACTCCACAACATGCTTGCAGTTTTAACATTTAAACATTTCTTCCAAATTTGCTGGGATGCTGGTGTCCCAGGAAGACTCATGGTACTCACCCCATGACCTGGCACAGCCCGGCCCCTCCCCCGCCAACTTCTGGTCACTCTGGGAAGCACCCAAAATAGCCATTTTATAGATCTTTAGTGGTTACTGGACCCAGATCTTCTAAGGTGTTTTATTCTTAAACTATTTTTGTGACCCAAACTATTATAAGCCTATGCAATACATAAAGGAGGCTATCTATAGGAAAAGCAGCACCATCCTGGGAAGTGCCCACAGCGAAGAAGAGCACAGAGATCTAGGTGGACCCCTGGCTGGCCACCCAAACAGGGAAGAAAGCCCAGGGCCTCTGAGGCCGGGAATGCCCAATCCAGGACACCTTGAATGTTGAGCCCATTAAAGAAAGTTTACAATTTCAAACTTCTGCCAGTTTTTTTTATGTGGCTAAATGTGACTCACCAGGGTTAGGAAAGGTAAATGCTTTTGGAGCTAGGAAAACGTTTTCTGAGACTTTTTGGTTCAGAAAGTCCCAGCTGAGGGCTACATTCTGGAAACTTCTGGATTTGGGGAAGATGGGGAAGTAGGGAAAGATTCTGCAGGAAGACAAGTTCCAGCAGGCGGTGAGTGGCTGTGAGCCAGCACACAAAGCACTCACTCCCCTGCAGCAGGGATGGCTGATGCCTGAGGTGCGATATTCACCTTTAAGTCCTGGCCATGATTTCTCTCTGTTAATGCTGAGCCAGGGGAGGAGGCCTGCCTGTAAGAGCCCTAAGTGCTGGCGCCCTGGGGCCCACACAGGCTGTACCTACAGCGAGGAGGAGCATGGTGACAAGTGGGCCTCAGAAGACTGGGCTTAAAGCCAGGCCTGGGGTTTGGATTAAAAGGTGGCAGTCAAAACCAGGACACCTAAGGCCACCACTGGGACCCTAGGAAATAAATGGAGAGATGCTGACTTCCCTTGATGACATGAATCAGGACTCACATAATCTTGTTTGCATATTAAAGTCTAGAGTGGGGCCAGGTTTGGGTGGTTGGGGGGAGTTAAGAGGTGAGTTTAAGCTAGACATCAGTTTTTATTTTCTTTCTGGAAGTATATAAGGCATTGGGCTTTTTATTTTGGTTAGAAGGTGGTAGAAGAGGATAAACGGGGTCAAATATATGGTGGTGGAAGGAGAACTGACTCTGGGTGGTGAATGCACAATGTGATATATAGATGATGTATTACAGAATTGTACACTTGAAACCTATGTAATTTTACTAACCATTGTCACCCCAATAAATTTTAATTAAAAAAAAGAAGTTATCAATTTTCAACAAGTGCTTTTTAACATTTAAAATATGACTTCCAGAAATATGACTTCTAGTAAATTACAGATTCATTGACTTGAGTCAATCACTTCAGGTATTATGGGAATAAAAATTTCCCCAAGGCACCAAGTTGCTTTGAAATCTATTTCTGAAATATCAGAGTTGGTAAGGTGTTCTCTTGGCACTCACTATTATTTAGTTCAAATACAATTACCGTAACATAATGTGATTTTACTACATTAACTCAAATTTGGAAATGAAACACTTTAAAATTGTAAGGTAAACCAGCCCAACTTGCTTGCCTGGTAGACAACACTGACTTCCCATATTCACTTTTCTATTATGATGAGAAGGCAAGGTTGCTGACTCCCTTTCATAACGCTAGAAGTGCTTCACAGGCAGACCGGGTCTTGTCTATCTTTCTATCCCCAGCCCTGAGGGCATTCAATGAATGACAGATGAATGAATGAACTGCTACAGACACAAGATGAGGTTTCGAGCTTCCTTCCCTGGGTCTTAACCCTCGTCATCCCTACTTTTCACCAGCAAAGGTACCAACTGTGACACGCTGAACTCCAATTTATTACACGTGAATTTTATCAAGTTAAAAATATCATGATTGGACAATTACAGATTAGATAATTACACATCCACAGAATAAAGGATTCTTTATCCAGCTGAGAAACTGGATATGCTGCAAGCTCAGATGTTCAAATCGGGCCCTTTCTGAGCCAAGACACTTTCTTTCTAGCTGAAGATCTATATATTTCTAGTTTTATCCTACTTGTATCACAGGCTTGGCTCTGCCATTCAGGGGAACAGTTGGAATTAGTTGTTCTGGTTAAACTTTAAATATTAGAGAGCTCTCTAAGCCTCCAGACTCTACAACAAACAAGGTTCATAATGTCTACAGCATTTTCTTCCTCTTACAAACCTGTATGTATACACACAAAGGCACTTAGAAAAAGATGTATAATGTGTAATGATACCAGGAAGGCAACTCTGCAGAGTGCATAATGGGATGGATATGCGTCTTTATGGCAGCCCAAGAGCTTTCATTCATATTTTAAAAGTATAGGGAAAGTAATCGAGTCTTTTATTTGTTAAAAAGCAGTGGGCTTAGCTCTCAATTACAAAGTAAAAGGGAAAAAGCCCACCGAAAAACTGGTTTCTAGAAAACACTAATTTATCTAGTTATGATTTAACCCATTTAATTCAAGCTCTATAAGGCTGCTAAGTGAGCCTTTAGCCACTGTGAGGAGAGAAAACAGAATTCCTCACTGTAGCAGACATTCTGGTTACCTACCTAATGCCTTTTTCTCACTGCTAGGAGGACTGGTTTCCCAGGAAAAAGCCTGAAAACACCATGATGAGCTCTCCCAGGAAGCTAGTGCATGGAAACATGACCCACTCCTGGCCAGAACAGAGCTCCTGATGGGAGACGCCAAGAGGGATTCTTTCTTTTCTCTATTAACACAAAAATCAATGTGCTGTTTGGAGGTGAGGTGGCCTTGCAATATGAGAGGAAGGTCAAAGACACTCTGAGAAGTGGACTGGATCCTGACATCTTTGAGCTGAACCAAATCTGAAACTACCTGCCCCAGACTTCGATAAGAAAAATGAGGGTTTTAGGCTGCCTTTGGTTGGGTATTTTGTTACATGTAGTGTAAAGCATTA